GTAATCTCAAAAACAAAAACACTCCATGTAGATGGGACCGCCAGATGGAAAGTATTCAGACTACCCCGATGATTTCACTGACATGCCTTGACATTGAGGGGTAAATACATAAGAAAGGATAAGTAAACAAATATATTTTATCAGTTTAAAGTTACCTTTATACATTTTCTTAGGAAACACATAGAGAAAACTTTAAGATGCATCTCACAGGGCAACCTGAAGTATGATCCTCAAATCATACATAAAAAATGTCTGATTATATGCTTCAGTTTAAAGAATTAAAAAAAAAAATTATATGTGTCTTCACAAGAAAGTTCTAAGTATTTTGAGACTACATCAACGACGAGGAGAAGTTACATTAACATGATCTTTTCATCAGACCAAATCAATTATGTTAAACACTATGCTGAGTTTTCACAGTAGTGATTGTTAAGATGATTGACTGAAATGATGACTTTTTATATATATGTATTTACTTTATTAAAGGCTCGTGTGTGTTTGCCTGAATAGTTATATATATATATATATATGTATATTTATGTGAGTAATGTATGTATGAGACTAGGGTTAAGTTGTGGTTTTCACGCTTGGTTGAGACCGCCCTAGTCGACCGGAATACGCTTCGTCCTTAGGAGATTGGCGCCCTAATTGACGAACGACATTCGGGTTCAATAAGCATTTTAATCGCACGTGCCTGTACTACAGTGAGCGAGTAAACGCTCTCGGTTGACTCACCTCTGCGACTGCATGTAAAAGCTTTCGTACGTGGGTGAGTAGTTCGGTTGGGATACATCCCTAAGGGTGGTGACAACCCCTTAGGGAAGAAAAGCTTATGCCCCGCGAGTACCTATCCTGTCGTAGAGAACCGGGGGATGTACAGCTGACGCACTCGGCTAGTGCAGTAAAGGAACGACACTACCACGACCGTCTCGGCGGCTCGTAGGATTATTTCTGCGACGTCTCCAAGTTGTCCCTTTGTTTTGCTTTTGTTTCACTCCTGTGGGACATGGTCGAGAGAACTCCCGCCTCTTTGCGAGAGAAAGGTGGGGGCCGATGTGCTCAACGGCGGGCGTTGCATCATAGCTTCTCTCTTACTGATAGAGTCTCCTACGGTAGGGGTGCGAAAAGGAGGAGGGGGGGAGAGAGAGGGAGACACACACAGGCAGAGAGAGGGAGAGAGAGAGAGAGAGAGAGAGAGAGAG